AGGACTCATACCTTCGTTTTAAAAAGGCGATTACTTTATAATATTTTGATATGTTAGTTTTCTTTTAATTTCAAAATGATTTAGCATCGAAAATGTCGCTCATAAACTGAATTCTAGTCCGGTTTTAGCCTTTTAACAAAATTTTGAAATATAATAAACAAAATAACACATAAAATGACTTGAGACACAGAGGTTATTTAGTGAAACTCCCAGATTGTAAGGGGTTAATTTACTTAATCTAATCTCTACCCTTCATGGGTCTTAAGAGTCTGCTTAACTTATAGTTAAGTCTTATATTATTATAAAGAAGAAACCTAAAAATTGAAATGATGAACGTAGCCCTTAAGTCCCGAGGTAATTCACCCCCTTACGAGTGAATTTCAACCCCTGAAGTCGACTGAACGACTTGTGTAGGGGAAGGGACGGCTATTATTATTATTTGCCGTGGCGCTCCGGGGCAACTTAAAGATGATTTATGGTGCCATTTGACTTACAGGTGAGGAAAACCCGGAAAACCTCACCCACCATCATCGAGACAGTAATGTATGGCGAATTTTTTTAATCTGCATGTCATATCAACAGAAATTGAATTTCTATTAATACGCCACACATCAAATCCTAAACCGAACCATGCAATTTAATTAAAAATCCACATGGTCTGGTCTGGGATTCGAAACCCAGCAGTCTCAGACTTATAAACTTGCCTATAAGCGCGATAGACCGCTACACCACCGTCCCGATATGGTCAATACCTAGGCAGAGAGAGTAAGTGCTGAAATAACAAAATTTTGAAATAGTGCTTAATTAATTAAATTATGAAATATACTGGTAACACATAAGTTATTAAAGTAAAATCCACAAGAACATTCTGTGCACAAAAGTTTTCGTTTAAAAGTGCATGCTTAATTTAATAAATCCGCAGGCACAGTGCACATATGACACCTTCATTATAATATAAAAAACCTTATAGTAGGGTGTTTCCATTGACAGCATCACCGTTTTCCTAGCCAGATAAAAAACCATCCATGTAAAATCAGCTATTAGTAAGCCAGGTGGCTATTAATCCGATGTATTGTGTCTCCACGGTTGAGTCTAGTTGAAACCTTTGATTTCCGGAGTATAAACCCTTAAAATATTACAAAATGTGTCAATATAAATTGACTCAAATTTCCCAAACTATACAATTAATTTTCCCAAAATGTACTCGAGCTAGAAAGTATTATCAAGATTCATAAACAGTATTATGAACTCAAATAACTAAAATTCTGGTACACCATACTATACCGTAACATAAAATAAATCAACAATCAAAAGGTGTACAATATTACCAAATATATACAAACATACCTTTTTCGTAAAGGGTTAAACTGGTAGCCTTCCAAAGGTGAAAAACATGCGAGACAATCCGCAGCAATCACTATTGAAGAATCCACTTCAATATTACACACTCAAATGCCGATGGATCTCCCTACATAAAACAACGAACTAATAACTCAAAATCTATTGAAATTATTCATACTCACAATTTTTTGTCTATAAATCCCCTTTGGCGGATGTGGAATGGGTCCAAAAAAACATGGGAATTTAACCAAACAACGAAATTCCCCAAAAATATCATTTACCCGTTCTTCCACAATTAATATTGGAGTAAAATCTACAATCCCCTTTAATAGGATAAATCGATGGTTATATAAAATAAAGATTTTACTCCTAGACAAAATATGAGGTTCTTGTCTTCTTCCCCTCTCAAAAGCACCTTACCAACAAAAATTGCCATGTCTTTCCGTTTTTGGTAAATGAGCATCATATACCTTAGAGACTATTTACGAAAGATTACTCTACAAACTATATCTACATATACAATAACTACATTTGGAAATTGTTACTGACACCTCGTGCAGAGAATGCGATTTAAAGTCGCTTACTGCAGAGATACAATTACCTGGAACTCAGAACCAGATTGAACGACACACAAAACATGGCACTGACAATTATCGTGTCCCGTCGTTGACTGACATTTAACCTAACAACTTGTACTGAAATTCGTACTGTCAAAATTAAAACAACATTGAATTAAAATAATTACTTTGATCAAAAAGAAAATAAATTCGATGAAATTGGCGCTTCGTAAATAAAATCAATTACTTAAAGGTAAGGTTATAATACATAATATATAAGTAAATTCGCAACGAGACTGTCTATTTTAGGAGAATCTAACACATTGAAACAAACCAGTTGGGTAAAATCTACAAAAACTCAGATAATATGAACAAAATACAATACACCTGTCCAGTGAGATACGATTAATTAAATTATATTAGTGATATTTGAAGGCTAACAATACATACAGCCAGTTCACGATAAAAATAATGGCTTTAAAAGCTTATCAACAATAAATTACGGTTTTCTTTTTTTCCGTATTGTTGGGGTTGAACCCTTTAATAATATGTTAGGCACCGCTTGTCCTTAAAAAACCCTAGTTACTAAGAAGTTGACATTATTATTAATTAGATTGTCAGACTCTAAAATTGTACTTTTTCATTATATCTTCTGTAAATACGTTAATATGTACAAGGATAGTTTCCAATGGTGGGTTTCATTTCATCAAAATACAGTCCGCTTTTTTCATGGGTAGGGGGAAGGTTAAAAAATTCCAATTTGCATTTTAACCAGCTTCATCCAGTCATATTACCTAACCATCACAAATTAACTAAAATGCTTATTACTTATGAACATCGTAAGAATCTGCATGCAGGTTCACAAGCGTTGTTGGCTATAATAACGTTAAATTACTGGCCTTTATCTGGTCTCAATAAAGCAGGTATTGAGAAATTGTATAGTTTGTTTTAGGGTAAGACCTAGACGGTTTGAGTGTATAATGGGAAATTTGCCTAAAAGTCGAGTAACGCCAAGCCGTCCATTTTCAAATTGCGGCATTGATTACAGGGGTCCATTTGAAATTAAGGTTAGTAAAACACGGGGTCACAAAGTTATTAAGGTTTACATGTGCGCATTTGTATGTTTCGCCACCAAGGCGGTTCACCTTGAGCTTGTGAGCGATTTGTCAACTCAAGCTTTTCTCAATTGTTTTACAAGGTTTTCAGCTCGACGCGGTTTAAGTTCAAACATTTATTGTGATAACGCTACAAACTTTGTAGGTGCCAAAAATGAACTACAAGAGCTAAACCGATTTTTACAAAATTCAGACACTCAAACTGCATTTCAGCGACATTTTGCTAGTCAACAAATTAACTGGCACTTTATTCCATCACGATCGGCGCATTTTGAGGGGTTGTGGGAATCAGTGAAAAGGTCTACTAAATATCACCTAAAGAGAGTTGGGGAGCAACGACTAACTTTTGAAGAATTGCTTACAGTAATAACTCAGGTGGAATCATGTCTAAATTCACGTCCGTTAGTTCCATTGACGGAAGACCCGGAAGACTTACATACGTTAACACCAGGTCACTTCTTAATCGGTTCTTCGTTAGCATCGCTACCCCAAGAAGATATGAGGGAGGTCAGGATAGGATATAAGGACCGATACAAATTAGTTCTTCGCATCAACCAAGATTTCTGGCAGAAATAGTCCAGAGAGTATTTAACACGTCTTCAACAGCGAAGTAAGTGGAGGTTGTCTAAGGAGCCCATACGTGTAGGAGAACTGGTCATCATAAAAGAAGACAATTTACCGCCACTTAAATGGGAAATGGGCCGAATAGTCACGCTACATCCAGGAAATGATGGTCAGTGCCGGGTGGTAACGGTGAAAACTTCACATGGCCTGTTGAAACGAACAGTTACTCGAATCTGTGTTTTGCCGATAGACCCGGAAGAGGATAGTTAGTTTAAAACTGTTAATCAAATTCTTAGTTTATGCATTTGGTTTCGAAAGGCAGAGCTTTCAAGGGGGCGGCATGTTGAACCCTTTAATAATATGTTAGGCGCCGCTCGTCCTTAAAAAACCCTAGTTACTAAGATTCATTCATTATTATTAATTATTATTAATTAGATTGTCAGACTCTAAAATTGTACTTTTTCGTTATATCTTCTGTAAATACGTTAATATATACAAGGATAGTTTCCAATGGTGGGTTTCATTTCATCAAAATACAGTCCGCTTTCTTCACGTATATTTAAACAAGGCGAGTCGAATTTTTCTCTAGTTATTTCATGCGGCCAAAAATGCACGTTACAAGTGCAAATACTATTTTGATCGCTACTTGTCATTTTTAAAATTCACAGTGAAATTGACATACGGAGGAATGCCAATTTAATATATTAAATTTTCATACATATTTTCACAAACTACTTATTTTTAATTGAATCCTTTCAAATACAGAACGAATCCAAAAATTATCATTCACTAACTTGCCATTTTTAAAGATCACAGTGCAATTGACATGAATAAATATAATTTAATTTATTGAATTTTCATTTACTTGTTTTCACAAACTACTTCGAATCTTGGGATAATAATAAATCTCGGCTGAGAAAAATCTTTTCTCTACTTGAATGTATATTATTACTATTCCAGTTTTTTAAGGTTAAAAACCTTCTCTTTTTTGAGGCAATTTCAGCAGCTTCTTTTACTTCTTGTGGTGTTAAAGACATTTCAATTCCATTTTCTGAATTCAGTTTTTCTTAATTTTTAGTAAAATATTTCTTAAATTATTTTGTAATATGAGTAATTAATTCGACTTTTAGATAGCCGCGGTCTATTAATAAAATAGGTAAAAATTGCAATCATAATAATACCGTTAATAGCGCATAATATATAGCTTATTTTAAATGAGAAAACTAATAAAAAAATGGGTACATTTCAATACTGTGTACAAACATTCATAAGGGAAATTAAAAAATATTAATTATCAGTAAAATAATAATAATAATTACAATTTATATATGTTGTTTAAAAACAAAAAGCAATTAATCACGTAATATTTGAAAAAGCAGCAATTGATCGATTTACAAATTAACTTTGTGTCAATAATACATACATATTTCATAACTACACTATTTTATTTACTCTTTTTTTTTAAACATGTATAAGTTAATCTTTTCGCTTCTAATTTTATTTTTTAGCTTTTCGCAATATACGTGGGAAAATCCATTTGTTGAATTCACAATTTTTGGTGAGTTATTTATTAAAAAATTAGGAGTGTTTAACAGTTTACAACAAAATATCCAATTTTTCTTATACAGGGTAATGTATGTCTGTATTCTGTAGTTATTGCTTCTTAGTCTTATCTTAATTGTTTATATTTAATCTTGAAAACATTTATTGTTAACTGTTAAAGAAAACTGTTTAACGATTTTGTTTTTCTTGGAGAATAGTTTGCCATATTTTTTATTTAAGATAGAGATTTATTATCACTTTCAAGTTCGGAAATTTAGAATATTGGTAAAACCATCGAGATAGAATGAAGTGGAGACGACATTAACACTATTTTGCGATATGACAAGTGGAGTGATCGAAACGTGTAATGAAAATGGCGACTTAGAGTCCTATTTTGATTAATTTGAAGTTAATAATTTTATAGTTGAAGATTGGTGGAATGAAAATGTTTTTGTATTCTATAAATCAAGATATTTTAAAAAAATGGCATTTATTCTCACCAAAACTGACTTACTTTACTAGCTTCGAGTTTGACATATGACGTAAAAGTGTAATGCAAAAGTGCGGATAGTTTTAGTATCGTCATAGCACAACATCTCCTCTTTATTCTTACTCAATGGATAAAACTGAAATAATTGACAGTTCAAACTTTAAAAACGACTATATAAAATTATGACGTTTCCATGGTCTATGGTCTAATGTCAATCTGAATTGATACAGGGTGTTTGTAAATAAGTGCGAACGATTTTAGGGGGTGGTTGCCGAAGTTATTTTGTTAAATATGAAAACGGGAAAAGTCAGTGGCACACTTATTTTTTTTTGTTGTGGCCTTCTCTCACGAACGCTACGAGTGCACATAGAAATATTCGGACCAACCCAATAAATGCACGTTTATCCCTCCAAAGCGTTCTGTACATTTTGAGTTAATATCTTTAAAACTCTTTGAAATAATTAATAAAAAAAAAATTAAACACTCTACCTCGAAAGCAATGTATATTTCTGCCTACGTTTATAGGAACTTTTTTTTAACAAAATAACTTTGGCACTTTGGCACTTTGCAAGCAGATAATCTAGAAAGCGCAATGATCTGGCAACCTCTCGAATCGCTGGCCAATATGCTGATCAGAGCCCGGCTTAGGTTGAGTGTTATTTGTTCAAATGATAAAGATAATTTTTAAAATTTGATTTTTACAAAGATCCTTTCGCGGTTTAAATTGCATTGAAAAAAATATAACATTCATTTCATTCATTTCAAAAATACTTTATTTACAATAGGCACATAGGATTTTAATAACATTTAAAATATATAAAAAATATAACACACTGAGAACTTGTATTAAAATAAAAAAAAAATAACAAAGATTTTATTGAAAGGGTAAACATACATTTTCAAAGTTTAATCATTTTCTCAGTTATATTAAGTAAATTTTCAAAATAATATTTTTACACATTGAATCTAAATATTAATCGAGTTTAATATGTACCATGTATTTCAATAACATCCGATGTGTTTTATATTGCTCTTTAAAGAAGGTAAATAAGTTACATATTTTATTTCTAAATTTGCATACTAGTCTGATGATACTAAATGATGTATACATAAAGGGAGTTTCAGTATTTTGTATCAGAGCTTTAATACTCGATAGAACTTTTAAAATTAATACAAAAAGTTTACATAAATTTAGCCGTTTTCTAGTTACTTGACCTTTTCTTGTTCAATGTATACCTACTAATTTTTCACCGAATTTATTATAATTTTTTGAAATTTATCATCTGCCAAACAATTTATTGTTTCTATTAATTAACAGATCACTGGTTTTAAGAATGTACAGTAATAATTTAATTTCAACATTGTAATTAATCGGAAACCGTTTTGTTTAAAGAAGTATAGAAATTAATATTTTTATTAAAAAATGTATGTTAAAGAAAAATTATAATCATTTTAATCCTTAAATATTACAATCCACTACAGCAAAACGATGTCCGTAATGGGAATGTGTAAATTAAATGCAAAATTTAAAAAAAATTGTATCTATAAAAATAATTATAAATATTCCCGGAATGTATAATCCCTTGCTCGAGGATGAATTTATTTGTGTGATTATACCACCATAATTTGTTTATGTATGTATTTTAATGAGCTCTGGCGCGTAAATAAATAAAGTAATTAGCATGGGTACACATTAAGGGTATAAGATTATTCATACTTACACAGGAAAAACAAATGGGTTTAGAAAAAAGATTACAAGTACTTATCATCTTGGAAATCTCGAGGTAAGTTGACTAATTTCGAATAACCACAGGATGATATTTTTCTGACAGGTACACTTTATTTATCGATAAAGAATACCATTTTTCTTCAATTGAACTATTCCAGTAATAATTATTTTTTACAAATTAATAGTTAAAGTAAATCACTTTATTATAAAAATATTATTTTCTAAATAACAAAAAAAAAGACACTGATATTACTAGGGTTAAGAAAATAAAGTGGACGGGGTAACAACTGTTAAAATACCCAATTTTTTGTTATTAGCAATTAAATGCTTGGATGAATTAAAAAATTCTGATTCTCAATTTCAGATATTCCATCAAGCACAAACGTTCCATTGGAGTATCATACATAAATAAAGATTTTACAAGATATTTTTTTAATCTTCGTGTTTTTTTATTTTTTTTTTAATTTATGATTGAGAGCGGTATTAAAAAACATAATTTATTTCCTTATACGATAGCACGCCGTATGACAGCGACGATGACGTCGAGTTTGATAAGGACATGGAAGGAGATAGTTTCGGATTAATTAGTATAAGTATTAGTATAAGTATTCGATTTTGAAGAGTGTAAATAAAAATTATCTCCGTGTTATTCCATAAAAAAATTTATCTCTTCCTAATTGACTTCTGACAGTTAACCAATGGAGTACTAAGATATTTTAAAATAATGTTGATAAATCGTCAGAAGTGAACTGGATGGAATAAACTATAAAATACGAGATATAATAATTGATCGAGTGGGAAGCACCGACACTCTCACTATCGCTAATATATCCGTTATTCTTCCACCTAGCCTTCTGACGATTTGCAAGTAATTTTATTTTGAATTACAGAATAAGAATAAAATTGTCAGAAGTGTACCTAGTAACATCATTGTTGCTAAATTTTTCGCATCATAAGCGCCTTCTGAAGACTTTTTCTCTTTCACCTAAACTTCTGACAATTTTTTCCTTACTTTCTTATACTATCTCCAAAAATACTGCAAATTTTCAAAGCTGTACCTTATCACTTATGTTGCGAAAATATTGCATGTTTAACCCCCCTATCCTTACTTTATACTTCCAGGGTGACTTCTGACTGCCCGCCTCTCGCTATGTTGGTAACAATCGAAACTGTAAATAACAAAATTTTGACTTTACCGATTCTTTGTGTCGCCAGCTCTTCGTCTAATAATGTTACATGCACAAAATGTTTTTTCTCCGGCTTTTTTTTCAAGGCTTTTTTCTTGGATTCATATTGTGGGAATAATTATTATAATTACTCACGAGAATAAACGTTTAGAACTATTTCCTTGGCATCACTAGAAATGTGACAACGCTTATGTTTGTCCAAATTTATTCGGAAGAACACTGTAGAAAATTAACTACCTCACTCATTTTTACTACTTATTTTAACTATACATTACCGAAACCTCGACCAAATCGCATAAACTTTGAAGTTAAACTAAAGTGATTAGGTAAATTCCACACCAATACTACCTAGGACCGGATGCCCCCGTGTTCAGTTTTCGTCTGCCATACGCATGACGTCACTCATAGCATGACTCTCATTAAGGAAAGGGGAGTGCTTATTTTTTCTGTAATGCATTTATTATAACAGCTACAACAAAATGTTTAATACAAAAGATGTTTATTAAGATTCGGATCAGAAAAATATTAAAAAGTATAAAATTACTAATTTAATATACTTTACGCGTTAATTTCCATGTAAAATTGGTCTCTGGGATTTTTGGCACGAATCTTGCAAGAAGAGTTTTTATCTTTCCTCTTGCTAAGATGCAACCACTTGTTGCTAAGGTTAGGTTCTTTAGGAAAACTAAAAATCTTACAAACATTCTTACGAAATATTAATATTATTATGTTTGTTTCCCAACATTAATTTTTAAAGTCCATTTGGGAGCACCGTTTCTGTTATGCACCATTCGAAAGAGGAGGCAAAAATAGTTCGGAAATTCATTGCACAGGTAGTTTTAATGGCGAATTTCTCGCCGCCAGAAGTGCTTTTACCAAAAAGTCGTTTTTTCGTTTTTTTGATCAGAACCATGGACATGAAATTTGCGATGAATTTGTGGCGAAATTATAAATGTTAGACATATGTGCCCATGAGAGAAGTTGCGTATTTTTTTGTTGGCTCTCAAATAAAATAAGTCCCGCGGCGAAATCTGACATAATTTTTCGGGAATTCGCAGGAAACCAGAGGCGTAGTTTTTTTTTAAATTTTTTTCCCATATGATTTTTTCCGGGTTTTCAGAAAACATCTAACAAAAAAAATATATTTGAAAAAACTAACTTTGCCATCGAAAAGAGCACAAAAAAATACACAAATAGGTATACTTTAAAAATGTTAGGAAATTAATCCTAAGCCTGAGTGTAAGTTCTAACTTGGTGATAAGCTTGCTTTTTGTTCGCTAATATCTGGTAATACTATATTTTGCACAAAACTCAAGAAACGTCTTATAACAAGTCAGTAAAATACAATTTAATAAATTTTAAGCCTAATAAGTTTAGATATGTAAGAAATTTAAAACTGGAAAACGCAAAAAAATCAAATTACAGTAATGTAGTGTATACACGAGTTTTGGATCCCGCGGAGCGCGAGTAATGGGACTTTTGTCGGGAGAATTCTACAACTTAGAAGAAACATACACACTTTAAACTTTGTATACACATTTAGAAGACATGAAATTTGGGTTTGTTTAATTTTCAGACAAAAAACTAAAAATTGTCAATTTTAGGCAACTTTTCTCAAAAACCGTGTTTTTTTGGTCGTCACTCAATGAACAGTGGTCAAAAAATTAGATAAAATATATTTGCAGAATTTTCCGTAATGTAATCGTATTCTAGACACAATAGAGTACTCAAAAAAAAAAGTTTTGAGCCATTGGGTGCATTTTTGTGCCACTTCAAACTTTCGAAAAAAATAATTTTTTTTTAAGGAAAAAAAATTATTTAATTGTTTGATATCTTAGCCAATTATGGTCCGATGTCGGTGAAATTCACACACACATAATATTTCACATTTAAGAGTAAGCTTTGTAAGTGACATTAAAAAAACTCAAATATTTTGGCCGTTATAGGCAAACAATGAAATTAGGACCGCGGTGCATTTTGCCCTTCCGCCATATGCCCAATTTTGGGATTTCTCTTGCCCCCTTCTGGGTATCACTAGTCACATCCCTTAAGTCCAAAACGCATTTTTGTTTTTTCAAATATCTTAATTTTTAACAATATTATAAAGAATTTAGTGTTTGAACATTTAACAAATTCAATTTTTCGACCTTCGTCGCCTCAAAATACTAAACAAATTTCAATCGTCCATACCGCGAGTACGGTACATCGGATCAAAATTTCTCAAGAGACATAAAAATTAGCATTTTTCCTAAGCTTTCAAATGTCGTAAACTGCGTTTTAAATATATTGATTTATTTCCGACATGCGCCTGCGCAAAATTGAAAAATTGACAAAATCCAAAATTTCGGCACTTTCGAAAAACTGCTACATTTTGTTTTGCCTTTTTTCGAAAAGATTACCTCAAAATACATAGAATCCATTTTGTTTCATCTAATTACAATTTAATGTAAGCTCAAAACCCGTAATTTAATTCGATTAATAAGCAAAAACGGAAAAATTTGACGGGTTTTTGGCTACCAAAAGTTATACTCACCTCCTGGGATGGTGCAAACTTAGATTACACGCATTTAGGATCAAATAAAGGTTTTAAAATGATATCCAGCCTATGAAGTCTATTGATTCCGAAAAAAACCTGAAAAAAATCTGAAAAAAATCTAATTAAAAATAGAGGGTTAAGAATGGTCTGTTGAACGCAGAAACGTATTGCCATGAAATGCCTTTTCCGACCCTGTGTACGCACGCAACCTTCACATGGGAACCGACTCGTGATCGAAGCAACGCTGACGTGTGGAAACAGCCAGCCCGCGTCTCGACTATACAAGAATACGACGGAATGCCCGCCGCTGATGCACTAGAAACAGTTGGAACGGCGGGGAGTGCCGTTTAATCATAGAAGTGGAATCTTCAAGAGCCTCTAGCATTTTCCAGTAGCGGAGTTGGACTAATATAAATAGCCGACGTATCAGCGCCGAGTTTAATTTTAATATACAACATTGTATTGGAAAGTTAAAGTGTAAGAAATAAATTAGAATTGTTAGTTAGTATTATATAAATTAAATAGTACGTCTGAAATAAATTGTAAATAGTGTGTTTTTAAATAAACAAACTAAAAATAAATTAGACTTCCGTCACAGTATATTATACTCGTAGAACGACAAGTATTATAATTACTTCATTCTAGTTTCTATTATCAAATTCTTCCTTATTAATGAATACTTATATACACATCAAATATATAGAAAGTATTTACTTCAAGTAAGACCATTTGCAAATTTTTTCATTAATTTTTTTCTAATTACAGATTGTTTGATGCCAATTGAGTTTTCTGTAGATGGACAGAATTGTTTGGCTATGATTCATCGCTATCACTGGAACCATGAAAAACAGAAATGTGAAGGCGTTACTTGGGGTGGATGTGGGGCTACTAAAAATAATTTTGAAACTATGAAAGAGTGTCTAACCGTAGCAGGAGCTATATGCGATAAATTCTGGTATTGGAATTAAATCTCGTATGTTGCATACTAAATGTACTATTGTAAATTTTAAAAATTGCAGATTCTATACAAGAAAATTTCAATAAAATAGATTTTGAAGAACGTATTTATTTTTTACCCTAAAATCTATCGGTAAATTTAGAAGAAAAAAAAAACAAAAATTAAACTAAAATCTATATTTGCAAATGGAGGAAGGAAGAGCAATATTTACTGAAGTGGTCAATAAACAATCACTTTTTAACGAAATTTCGTCTCAATTTCTTTTATGTGACTTTCTTTAACAGAATATATCTGATTTTAACTTGATTTCTAAACTGTGACGTTAAAACTAACTGTTTATTTTATATTATGTAATTAAATTCAATTTTATATGCAAATAAAGAATAATATCTATTATAGAATTTTAGTTAGGTAACCGTTGAACAGAAATAGTAGTAATATAACTAGCGGTGATGGGGCTATTCTTAATGCTCTTTGAATAATATAATACTATTCATCTCTGTTTATTAACATCTATTTATCCAACCAGTTACGAAATGCCTTATTTTATGAAATGAGTAAATATTTGCAGAACGAACAGAGCGAGGTCTCGCAACATGAACGAGTTACATAAAACGGCATTTCGTGTTACATACAATATTTTTTCTAAACTTAACTACTTAGATTATTTATAAAAATGTGTTTTGTTAAAACGTTACTGACATCCAGGCAACCAGTATTACTTTCTTGTATTGTTAGTTGTATATGCATTTAATTGATTTTATTGACAAACATCATATTAATTTATTCTCAACGACTTTTGTCTGTTTGGTAAATGGTAAAGTTATTTACTTTTCAAGAAAGTAAGTTATTTTATCGTGCATTGTGTTTTAATTATTTTGTGCTGATTTAAAATGGAAAATAAGGACAAAAACTATATTATTACCAGGATGTAAGTTTAACCAAATTCTATTTTTATATGTCAACCTGCCCTATTGTTACACAGCAAATTCCAGTAGCCTGCGGCTGTTATAGGAAACGTACGAATACAAAAAGAAGTGCAATGTTACCCATCGCCCTAGTGTGCTGCGGTCGTCATAACTAAAAGTACTATCAAAAGAAGATAGAAGAGTCTAGAAATGTCTGGAAATGTCATTCCACGTCAAGGAAAAGTCTAGACAATTCGAGAATATTCGAGAAGGTTAAAGCAAGCTATATAAGCAGGGATCCTGACGTCAGTTTTTCAGTTTTATGATAGACGTTACATGTTAATCTTATCAGTTGTATAGTTATTGTAAAAGTTGACTTGAAATAAATTTGAGATACCAAAAACCTGCGTAACAATGTATACTTTCAATACCAATGTATATATTGATTTTAAAATCAAAAATGTTTTATTTTTAACTGTTTTCTTTTTGCAACTGGTAACATAATGAATTTGAAGCTTGTTTTACATTCGAAACTTTATTTTAAATTAATCGACTCTCTGTTTCTCTCTTTTTTGTCACTTCAGTTTCATTACCGAAAAAACTATCTCAATGAAGAGAGTAAATTATAATATTTATTTTAAAATGGATTCTTCGATTATTATAAACAAAAACAATACACAATATACATATAATTAACAATACATAATTAACAATAATTAAAAATAATATATAATTAACAATATACATACAATTTCGCCGATAGTGACATCTGTGATATATGGCACCTATCACATCTGACATCTAATGTTTCGTTTAGTGTTTATTAATCGTTTTCATCATGTTTTGTTTTAACTTATATGTATCCATAAATAGTTCAATACTTTCTTACCCATAATGAGCGTTTCAATTTAGTAAAGATTGGAAATAAAGTATTTTCGCATTTATTTTTATGCAAAAGTATAAAGTATATTTATTGAAAATAAAGTAGGATACGTTATTATAAAGTATGATTGGCAACCCTAACTGTAACCTACATTACCCAGGTACTTTTATAATTTATTCATTCCATTTTATTAAAGGAAAGTTGTATTCTTATTAAATTCAAATTTCTACATTTTACGAAAAATCTTTTAGATAATTAAATCCTATGTATGATGCCTAATAAATAAAAGCAATATTTCTGTGCGCGGGGTCTATAATATTACAGAACAGATTAAAAGATATCCCATGAGAATTCGATCCAAAAACTTCTATAAACATAATTCTTTTACAAAGTAATAATCATTAAAACAAGTCAGTTTCGAATCAAAACTCAAATTTCGACAAGATTTCATAACAAAAATCTAAGAATTTCTAAAGACACATAATAAATCTACCACCCCTTTTTTATCCACCCAAATTCATTCCCACCGGAGATACGACAAATTGACGTCACAAAAAGTCATTAAAATGAGTATAGATACCCTAACCCGAGGAATTCGAGATTCAATCGTTTATTTTTTGGTATCCAGTCTAATTCATTATTATCTTAAATCCAGTATAATTCAGTTGCTTTTGAATTCAGTTTGTATGGTATTAGGTATATGGTATCGGCACCGTAGCCGCTGCCTATCACCAGTTATGCATACGGTGACCGGACATGCAGGTATTTTTCGAGGTTAGTTTAGTTTGAAGTGATGATCATATTAAAGCAATATAAAATTACCTTGTACCTAGAAATATTAAAGAATTACAGATCTATTTAGGTCTAGCTTCGTATTTTCGAAAGTCTATTCAAAACTTCGCTTTCATTTCTATTATTTGGATTAAGAAATGGAATTTTTATTGCCATGATGAATTAGGGCATTTAGAATCTATAAAACGTACATATTGGTTTCCGGCATGCGTCAAAAGTTAAACACTACAATAAAAATTGTTTGAAATGTATTGTATACAATGCAAATACATGCCAAAAATCTGGATACCTACATAACATCCCAAAAGGTGATATCCCTTTTAAAACTCTGCATTTAGATCATTGTGGCCCTTTACAAAAGTCTAGTAGACAAAACAAACATATATTTGCAGTCGACTAAATTTTTAAAGTTATTTTCCTGTTAATCAAATGACTCAAAAGAAGTTATTAAACATCTAGAACTCTATTTTTCTACTTATAGTAAGCCTAATCAGATAATAACAGATATGAGTACTTCCCATGCATTTTCACTGACTTTTTAAAGAAGAAAAACATAAAACAAGTGTTTATTGCTACAGGCACATCCAGAGCTAATGGGCAAATTGAACGGTATAACCGAACAATAATACTGATGTTAGCCAAGATTTACGGATTCATCTAATAAATGGGATCAGGCACTCGGCGAAGTAGAATTTTTATTAAACAATTTAATTAATAAAACTACTGGAGAAACACCTTCTAAACTTTTTTTTTGGTATTAATCAGAAAGGTAAAATTAATGATTATTTAAAAGAGGCATTATCATTAAATGAAATGCTAACGAGAAATTTAATCAAAAGTAGAGAATAAGCTATCGAAAAATCACAAAAATATAATGAAGAATATTATAATTTACATCATAGAGCCATAAGGATGCCTTTAAATTTAAAGAGGGAGATCATGTTATGATTTCAAACTATGATACAACTGTAGGCGTCAAAACAAAAAATTATTACTTAAATTTATGGCTGAATAATAATAACTAAATGAAAACATAATTCTATTTTGTATTGCAAATTTATGTTATTTATGAGTGTAGGTTACTTGGTTTCAAATTTACGGCTTATGATTTTATGTCTTTATGATTTATGTATAATACACATTGTCGTTAAGTGAAGGAATGTAGATATATTACTGTTTTTTCTCCCTTTTTGAGACATACTGAATGTCTTCTATTGCCATTTATGCATACTTATATGATTTTATACATTATTTTATATTTCGTAATATCATACAAACTTACATTATATGTTACGCAAACTTGATGAACATATGTCCTTATGTTATTGCACTTATGCAAATTTTACGTCTTATGTATGTTTATGCTAAATTAATATCTCAAGTATATTTATGCTCCATTTTATGTCTTATGTATATTTATGCTCCATTTTATGTCTTATGTATATTTATGCCGAATTTATGTCTTATGTATACTTATGCTAAATTTTATGTGATGGATATTTATGCTAAATTCTATGTCTTATGTACACTTATGCTAACAATTTAAAATTTTCTTATTTACATATAAATAGTTACATTATTTTAATTTCATCAAATGTAAAAATGATATTCTACTTATTTTCTTAGATTTCAGTAATAACTATGTTTGTATTTGTTACTTAGCGTTGATTGGGGACAATCAATTTGTCTGTCGGGCTGAACTGTAAGGTATTAGGTATATGATATCGGCACCGTAGCCACTGCCTATCACCAGTTATGCATACGGTATCGGCACTGTAGCCATGGCTGGTGACCGGGCATGCAGGTATTTTTCAAGGTTAGTTTAGTTTGAAGTTTAATGAATGTATCGCTGATGTTATGATGTGCGAAATTAATTAAATCAACAATAATCTATTTGATCATTATAACCCCGCCCAAATAAGTGATATTAGGAGTGAAACTCCTTACAAGTTATATTTCAAGTTCAGTATTCAGTACGTCCCGACCCTCACTGTCCCGCCGCCTATTTTCCTACCTTTCTACGTCCCGACGACCTATCTCCAGAACATTTTTCACGTTCCAACGCTCAACATCCCGCCGCCCTACTGTCCTACCTTTCTACGTCCCTAAGGCTGTCACGTCTTGCACCATCCAAGTATATCCTACCTTATATCCGTCCTGACGCAGTACCGTAATAAATACCTTCCTCTCCGCCACGACGCAAGGCGACGCTAAACGCTGCGACGTACACAAATCGACGTCATCACAATGCTAGATAAAATAAGTACATAATGTCCACTTTAGATAAACCTAATGTTTGTACTGTCAATGGTGAGTTGAAAGTATACCGTAACTTTCTTGAGATATCGTCGACGTTCCTTTTTGAATAAGGGCCTACCATTTGCTTCAAAATATAAATAATGTAACTCAATAAATCACATGGCCTTCGGGTATTCACCCCGAAAGACAGTTAAGCTAAAAATCTGTTTTTTGATGAGTGAATTTGAGTCATTTCAATAGAAATTATAAATATCAATATT